GACTACGAGCAGACGCTGGTGAGATGTCAGAGGGTTTTACGAAATGAATAAAGGTCATGGTGTCCCGTTAGGAAAGAAAAAGAAAAAAAAAGAAAGAAAAAAAAAGAAAAAAAAGAAAAGAAAAAAAAAGAGAAATGAAAAAAAAAAAAAAAAAAAAAAAAAAAAAAAAATATATATATATATATATATATATATGTATACATGTATGTGTATATATCATTAATATGTATGTACATACATTAATATGATATTCTTATATATATATATATATATATATATATATATATATATATATATATATATATGCATGTGTGTTTTCCTCTCTACCAACATGCAGTGTTCTTGATTTTCATCATCTTATTATGATTATGATATCATCAAGTATTTCCTGTTACTCCTGAAATGAATCAATATCGTTGACGTTTTATTGAATTATCATTTTTCCCCTTTCCCTCTCGCAACAATACGTTTCTGACCTTGGCCTTCTCTCCCAGGCGTTCGGGGAAGAAGCGGAGGCGAGGGGCGGCCACGTCCTGGAGGCTCCCATCACGGGCGGCTTGGAGGCGCTGAAGAAGGGCCAGATGGTCGTCCACGTCGGCGGAGACCAGCAGGTGGCCGACGCCATGAGACCCATTCTTGACGTAAGGTCTTTGTATTCAGTTATTGGTTTTATGTTATTTGTTTATTTATTTTCTCTTTGTTTACTGATTAAAAATAAACTGATGTAGTATGCGCTTTGCAAAGGTATTTGTTGCTTCAGTTAGTAAAGCCATTTTAAAAGGGTATCTACGAAAACGCACAAGATTTGTGCTATGTTGTTTTATTCGATTTTTTCACATTAGTAATTTTCTTCCATGGGGCCACAGGCGTCCTATAACGAAGTTTTCTACGTCGGCAAGATCGGTTCCGCCATGATGGTCAAGGTGGTGTCCAACATGCTCGCCTGCGTCCACATCATTGCCATGGGCGAAGTCCTCATGCTGGGTAAAACAACCACACATTATACCTATCAGTCATAGCTGGGAAACCGCAGGGACCGTGAATATAAACGAACGACAGGAAAGACAGTCTTGTCGCCAGCCAGATAGTAATCCGACTGACCCCCGCCCCCCCACAGCCAAGCGCTCCGGCCTCAACCTGAAGACCTTCTGGGACGCCATCCGGGTGAGCGCCGGCAACAGCTTCGTGTGGGAGACGGGGGCGCCGCTCATCTTCAACGGCTGCTACGACCCGGGCTTCACGATGGCGCTGCAGAACAAGGACCTCCAGCTCGGATACGACATGGCGAGGAAGTTCGAGGTGACTTTCTGTTTTTTTTTCTAGCTTGGTGTTTTTGACTGGTGTTTGGATGATTGGCTTTGGTTTTCCTTTTTTCAAGCTTTATAACTTTAACTTTGTTTATTCAGTTTTATCTCTTTTTACCGTCGAGAACTGTGGATTAGCTGCTTGTCTATGTAGGCACGATAGTTGGTGTTTCTATAACAAGCGCTTCCACTGTTAGATTACCCAGCTTAGACTAAACAATGCTAAGTGAGGGCAGGCGCAGCAGTTTAGCATTTAAATTGAACTGTTCAAAGATATGCCCTTTACTGAAGACTGCATTAGCTTACGAATCCTGAATAAGACTAGCAAGCTCATTCGCACTATAAGCTGGACTAACGTGGGCCTTCCCCCGCAGGTGCCAATGGACATGCACCAGCTGGCTCTCAGCATCTACCGCCGCACGCAGTACCAGCTGGGTGACGAGGCAGGCTGCTACTCCCCGCCCAAGACCTACGAGCTGGCGTTGGGCGAAAGTCTGCAGGTCCAGGACTTTAAAGACTGGACCTACGATAACGAGATTTACAAGGGCTCGCTTGTGGTCTCCCATAACAACATCGACTAAACGAGAGAACAAGGGGACAGCCTAATTAGCCTTTTTTGCGGAAAATGGCAAAACAGTTTACTTGTAGATACATATGAATTCTGTTTTGCTAGGTGTTGATTTTGGGAAAAGCGAAACTATTAAACACTATGATCTGAGAGATTATTTATATAGTTTTAATTATACGGAGAGTCTTAATAAATGATACTAAGTCAACTGTAGTCCGCAACACGTCACTCGTACGAAATATTTCAAAGAAAAGTCCATTATGCTCTGTCTGTCTCTAATTATGTATATATATAATATATATAATATATATGATTATATATACAGACGAACAACAGCGCACAGAACTTCCTCAAAAATACCGAGTTCTAATACACGTGCGGCCGGATATACATACATACATACATACACACACACACACATACACACAAATAAGAACACGTACAAACAAACAAACAGACACCTACCTGCAATGAAACAAATGAATACAAACAGTAAATATAAAAAAAAGAGTCGACTCCTTGATGAAACTACGATGCATATCCAACGAAACAGAGAAATGAACCGCTAACTGAAAAGAATCCAAGAGTGACAGAAATCGCATATAAATAAATGTACAAACATTACATGCAAGAAAAGAGGGTATAAGGAAATTAAAAAAAAAACAATGAAAATGAATCAAAAGAGATGATACATCGACTAAACCATCACCAGGATATAGAGGTATCAGATGAAGTCACTTCATCACCTACCAGTTAACATGACTATAGCACGTTTCATCAAATCAACATGAAATTGGTCTCTGTCTCTGTCTCTGTCCCTCTCTGTCTCTGTCTCTCTCTCTCTCTATCTGTCTGTCTGTCTGTCTGTCTGTCTCTCTCTCCCTCTCCCTCTCCCTCTCCCTCTCCCCCCCCTCTCTCTCTCTCTCTCTCTCTCTCTCTCTCTCTCTCTCTCTCTCTCTCTCTCTCTCTCTCTCTCTCTCCCCCCCCCCATCCTCCCTCTTTCGCATACCGCATGTCAACAGAGATTCATAAGCTATCTTTTTCAGTCGGTTTCTTTCGAATGCAGACCAACAAATAGGCCTGGGATACATAACTGGAAAAATATACAATGAACGTGAACAAAATAGGGCGTAACCAGTATTCAAAATACGATATAAATTCAGCATAAGCGTTACTTCAGAATAAAACGAAAACAGTACCAGTTCATCAGTGAAGAAATAGATTTGCAGCAGAATATAAAACTCTCTGAACAAAAAGGCCAAAATATCCAACTATAATGACATGAACTTTCTGAGAGAGAGAGATTTTGATTTATTAATTTGATAACATTTACAGAACAGTGTACATGCCCTGCAAAAAGCCAGGGTAAGATACCAAAGCATCTATCCAAACTGGCAGTGTTTTTATTTGTGTAGAGGGCCATCGGTCAAACATTTGTGTTACATACATGCCTGAAGGGCTGTTCTATTATCACTGTATTAAAATATCATCTGACTGGTAAAAAAACCTTTTACATCACTAATCATGTCAAAGACAAGGCCAGTGTCTATTATAAAGTTAATATAATCAGCAAGCGCTATTCTGTGAACAGTACTATTTGATCGATAGGATGCAGTCTTTATGCAACAGAGTAAGTAATGAGTGAGATTATGCGACTTGGGTTCCTTGCACAGTTTGCAATGGTGATATGAAACAGGTTTTGCATCCAAAACTGCATCCTGTACATATTGTATAGTGTACTGATATCCTATGCGTAGCCTAGATAATGTAACCTGTTGTCTCCGAGACAGTCCGTGATAGACTTTATAGGGCTTGTCTAAATTTGATGTCCCAACAATACACTCGTACTGCCAGATAGTATAATGTCCGTCTTTTTTAATCTTTTCAGTGGTCCATACCTGATCCTCATAATCTCTAAGACAGCTGATAACTCGTTTTTTCATTTGATTGAGAGATAGCGGTATTACATAGTATGAATCTTCATGGGAAAGTGCTAACCTGGCTAATTGATCAGCCCTGTCACATAGTGATATTCCTATATGAGAGGGTATCCAGTATAGTGACACTTGGGTACCCCGTTCTGATAATTTAGAAATTTGGTGAAGGATATTCTTAGTTACCTTGTTTTCTGGAGTAAATGTAGTAAGCCTGTGGAGAGCGCCTTGGCTGTCTGTAAAGGCAGTCAGGTTTCGCTGCTGTTCACTACCTTTTTTAATGGCATGATATATAGCTACTAACTAGGCATCAGTTGTGCTTGCCCAGTTGGAGATGCACTCACTTCTTCAAGGTCTATATCAGGAATTAGCACACCAATCCCTGTTGCTCCATGAGGATCATTGGAGGCATTACAGTAGATTGCAAGTGGGGGCGTACCATAAGGGGGATGTAGAATGCCATCAATGTATTTTCATTATTTTCATTATTAGTAGTAGTAGTAGTAGTAGTAGTAGTATCATAATCATCATCGTCACTATTACCATTGTTATTACCACTATTATCATCATTAGAAAAGAATCCAAGAGTGACAGAAATCGCATATAAATAAATGTACAAACATTACATGCAAGAAAAAGAGGGTATAAGGGAAATAATAATAAAAAACAATGAAAATGAATCAAAAGAGATGATACATCGACTAAACCATCACCAGGAAATAGAGGTATTAGATGAAGTCACTTCATCACCTACCAGTTGACATAACTATAGCACGTTTCATCAAATCAACATGAAATTGGTCTCTGTCTGTCCTCTGTCTCTGTCTCTCTCTGTCTGTAGGTCTCTGTCTCACTGTCTCTCTGTCTCTCTCTCTCTCTCTCTTTCTCTCTCTCTCTCTCTCTCTCTCTCTCTCTCTCTCTCTCTCTCTCTCTCTCTCTCTCTCTCTCTCTGCCCCCCCCCCATCCTCCCTCTTTCGCATACCGCATGTCAACAGAGATTCATAAGCTATCTTTTTCAGTCGGTTTCTTTCGAATGGAGACCAACAAATAGGCCTGGGATACATAACTGGAAAAATATACAATGAAAGGTGACATAGGATATTTCATAATAATACAAAACAAAAACAAAGCAAAACATTTAATGCTTATTCATGTTTAAGATAGAAAATGCCTCTAGATACGATTTGCATATTCGTTGTATAATCTGCAATCAACGTGAACAAAATAGGGCGTAACCAGTATTCAAAATACGATCTAAATTCAGCATAAGCGTTACTTCAGAATAAAACGAAAACAGTACCAGTTCATCAGTGAAGAAATAAATTTGCAGCAGAGTATAAAACTCTGAACAAAAAGGGCCAAAATATCCAACTATAATGACATGAACTTTCTGAGAGAGAGAGATTTTGATTTAATTTGATAACATTTATTTACAGAACAGTGTACATGCCCTGCAAAAAAGCCAGGGTAGGATACCAAAGCATCTATCCAAACTGGCTGTGTTTTTATTTGTGTAGACAGCCATCGGTCAAACATTAGTGTTACGTACATGCCTGAAGGGCTGTTCTATTATCACTGTATTAAAACATCATCTGACTGGTAAAAAAACTTTTACATCACTAATCATGTCAAAAGACAAGGCCAGTGTCTATAATAAGTTAATATAATCAGCAAGCACTATTATTTGAACAGTACTATTGATCGATAGGATGCAACAGAGTAAGTAATGAGTGAGGTTATGCGACTTGGGTTCCTTGCACAGTTTGCAATGGTGATAAGAAACCGGTTTTGCATCCAAAACTGCATCCTGTACATATTGTATAGTGTACTGATATCCTATGCGTAGCCTAGTTAATGTAACCTGTTGTCTCCGAGACAGTCCGTGATAGACTTTATAGGGCTTGTCTAAATTTGATGTCCCAACAATACACTCGTAGTGCCAGAATAGTATAATGTCCGTCTTTTTTAATCTTTCAGTGGTCCATACCTGATCCTCATAATCTCTAAGACAGCTGATAACTCGTTTTTTCATTTGGATTGAGAGATAGCGGTTATACATAGTATGAATCTTCATGGGAAAGTGCTAACCTGGCTAATTGATCAGCCCTGTCACATAGTGATATTCCTATATGAGAGGGTATCCAGTATAGTGACACTTGGGTACCCCGTTCTGATAATTTAGAAATTTTGTGAAGGATATTCTTAGTTACCATGTTTTCTGGAGTAAATGCAGTAAGCCTGTGAGAGCGCCTTGGCTGTCTGTAAAGGCAGTCAGGTTTCGCTGCTGTTCATACCTTTTTTAATGGCATGATATATAGCTACTAACTAGGCATCAGTTGTGCTTGCCCAGTTGGAGATGCACTCACTTTCTTCAAGGTCTATATCAGGAATTAGCACACCAATCCCTGTTGCTCCATGAGGATCATTGGAGGCATTACAGTAGATTGCAAGTGGGGGCGTACCATAAGGGGGATGTAGAATGCCATCAATGTATTTTCATTATTTTCATTATTTTCATTATTAGTAGTAGTAGTAGTAGTAGTAGTATCATAATCATCATCGTCACTATTACCATTGTTATTACCACTATTATCATCATTAGAAAAGAATCCAAGAGTGACAGAAATCGCATATAAATAAATGTACAAACATTACATGCAAGAAAAGAGGGTATAAGGAAATAATAATAAAAAACAATGAAAATGAATCAAAAGAGATGATACATCGACTAAACCATCACCAGGAAATAGAGGTATTAGATGAAGTCACTTCATCACCTACCAGTTGACATAACTATAGCACGTTTCATCAAATCAACATGAAATTGGTCTCTGTCTGTCCCTCTCTGTCTCTGTCTCTCTCTGTCTGTAGGTCTCTGTCTCTCTGTCTCTCTGTCTCTCTGTCTCTCTCTCTCTCTCTCTTTCTCTCTCTCTCTCTCTCTCTCTCTCTCTCTCTCTCTCTCTCTCTCTCTCTCTCTCTCTCTCTCTCTCTCTCTCTCTCTCTCTCTCTCTCTCTGCCCCCCCCCATCCTCCCTCTTTCGCATACCGCATGTCAACAGAGATTCATAAGCTATCTTTTTCAGTCGGTTTCTTTCGAATGGAGACCAACAAATAGGCCTGGGATACATAACTGGAAAAATATACAATGAAAGGTGACATAGGATATTTCATAATAATACAAAACAAAAACAAAGCAAAACATTTAATGCTTATTCATGTTTAAG